GTAAAACATTTGCATTCTTTGCAAGGAACGCAATGCAAAATCAATAAATCTTTTAACACAAAATGAAAAGTCCAATACTAAAAATTATTGACATGTCAATGTGATAAAGAAACATGCATGAATGACCAAATAAAGTTTAAGCAAATTTGCAAACAAATGAACAATCTTTCTGCAGTTTTTTGTCTGTAATGTATAACTATTGTATATCTAGTATCATACAAAATATGGCAAATGTGTTTTGTTTTAAAAATGCAAATTTTCCACAAAATTCTGGAAATTACCACCACAAAATCTAAATTAATGTCACACTTTCGGTTTCATCTTGCTGCAGTTCATCTAGTGCAGGGGTGCCCAATCCTGTTCCTGGAGATCTACCTATTTGCAGAGTTCAGTTCCAGCCCTACTCCAGCACAACAGTCTCTAATGATCAAGTTATTCTGAAGATCTTAATGAGCTGGTTCAGATCTGTTTGATCAGGGCTAGATCTGAACTGCAGGAAGGTAGATATCCAGGAACAGGATCAGGCATCGCTGGTCTAGTGGTTTGTGAACACAAGAGCACACCCGGTGTAAACGGCCCTGAAAACAACACCATAATTTGCTTAAATGCAATAAAGCAGTGTCAGAGCAGGGTTGCACGACTGAAGGAACTGGTACCAGCACCTCTGTTCACTCAGTGAACAGCAGCAGGACACATCACAACCAGCGGCAGACCAACACGTTCCCCTGGGGACAGGGAGATTAACACATGACAGAGCTCGTTAACTCGGTACAAAGCATGATGCTAATCCTGTGCGATCCTCCGATGGACAGCCGCAGAATGGGATGCACACAGGACACGGGCCATATACGGGCGCCAGCCAACATGCCATGCCACCTGGCCAAGAAAGTAAGTGGAGAAATGGTGAGACGAGATGAGATAAGACGGATATTGATCATCAAGAGAAAGTGCAGGGGTCGCAGCACAGATGGGAGAGTAGAGCAGTGCATTAGCAGAACATGTGGGCACACTGAAATTGGGAGGTTTTGGGCGTAAAGGGGCCTTTTAACTAATTTGTAATTCGAGAAGCTGCTTGATTCTATTATCTACTGGGAGCACAAAAAAGCTAAAGAGCCAAATTACATAACCACTGATAAAAACCAGATGGTGGGGTTTGATCAATGACATCTGATAGTGTGTGTTTGTTTGTGACAGCATGGCCACAAACGTCATCTGCAGCAGACAATAAACATGCCCTTCAGCAAACAGGAGGAAGTGACACACACACACACACACACTCCACAGGAAATTACTGTACCTATAAGAGGATTATCCTTCTGCTCACAGCTGACCAGCACCTTCCAGATGGACTCTGAGGCTCTGTTCTGATTCAACAGAAAACTTCATAATGTGCCCATTGGCGAAGAGCAAATCTGCATGAAGCCATTTAACTTATATACAACCAAATATTGCTATTAGATGGTTATGGTTGGGGATCTAGACTGGCAATCCAAAGGTTGTAGGCTCAAACTCCTGCAGAAGTGGTTGTCGTTCCACTGCTGTGACTCTGAGCGAAAGTATTCAACCCCTGGTTGCACAAAAGAGACAGTTTCTGTACTGCTGTTCAGCTGCTTTAGAGGAAGAATCTACTAAATAATAATGTCCCAGAGTAAATTTATATTGCTCAGAGGTTGTTCTTTCAAAGTGTTTAATGTCTCAAATTTCTCTCCAACATATTTTCAAGAGAAATTATTAAGGCTATTTCTGGAGTACAGTAAAATTGTAGGGGCAAAAAAACATGGACAGCAGTTTTGATCAATTAACCTTGAAATATGAGAATTCATGGCGAAAGAATAAATGAATGAGCAAAGACAAGTGAGATTACTGTTATTTCCTCTAAAATCTGTGATTTTATTTTTTAAAGTCCCATTGACTTTGAAGGCAGGACCTAGGCCAAGTCCAAAATGATACAGAGACTTTGGACGGACAGTAAGGAACCATTGAAAACCACTCAGAACACTTCAGCATCTGCATAGCAACACACAAGTTTTTCTTCAGGAAATGTAAGAACAGGGCTCGACAGTGCGACCATTTCAGTCGCATTTGCGACTGAAAACTAAACACCTAGTTTTGAGGACAGATTATTTTAATATGGAATTCAGATACTGCAGGGATTCTTACAGCATGTGAACTTTAACCTTTTTAAAAACAGCAGGTCAATACATCTATCAGTAAACTGCAGTACCCGATGCAATCTCAAAGACACCATTATCTGAGTGACATCTGCCAAGACTGGAACAAAGGATACTAAATCAAAATGCACCAAGACAGGACTGCATGTCTGCTCTGATATAATGTTGCTCCAGACGGAGATTAACACAGCAAGAGTGCTACAACTGCACAGCAGACATGTTTACAGAAAGCTGAAGTGTAACCACAAAACACTCCCCAAAAAAAGAACTCAGAATGCAACAAACCCTTCAAATTACCACAGCTGCAACACAATATCCCATCCTAACAGAGCCAACTGTCCACTGCAACAACTGCTCAGCCCCCAGGGTGCTATCTTTACCGGAGGAGTGAGTGCTTCAGTATGAGAGAATTATCAGAAAAGGACAGATGACACAGGAAAACCACTGCAACTGCATCTTAGGACAACAACGTTGACTGCACTTTTTTAAAATGAAGGTTCCAAATGGGGTTTTTATAGCGATGCAACAGAAGAACCATTTTGGCTCCTCAAAGAAACTTTCAGTAAAAAGTTCTTAAAGAACCTTTTTTTTTTTCTTAGTGTCAAGAACATTTTAAAAATCCAAAGAACTGTTTTTCACTATACAGAACTTTTGTTCAACAAAAATGTTCCAATGCCAATATATCTAAAAAAAAGAAAAGAAAAGAGTGTTACTTTTAAGAGCGTACAGTGAGCAAGCTAACGTTGGTGGGCCAAATAATGCATAGTCACATTCTCTTATGTCTCTCCAGATAATCATAAACCAGAATTGGACCTTTCTGATGTCATCTGTTGTAATTTCTTCTCTAGCGAGTCCCACCCCCCATTCCTCATACAGTCACTAGCCATCATGCCATGACACATTTGTAATTGCTGGCAATGCCTCCCTCCAAGAGCCTAATCCCTGTAGGCTGGAGTTAGACAGCTACAGCATTGTATCGGGATCATAATATGACAGAACAATGCCAGTCAAATAAAAATGGATCTGAAATAATTAGAGAGAATTGTTCACTGTGACCTTTGCATTGAGTCAATTTTACAACAGCTTAAAATAGTATGTATTACTAAAATCTGTTCCATAATTATATAGAATTAATTCCATAACTATACACAATATACCAGACAAAAGCAGAAGAACTAGATCTGATGAAGCCTCACTGGACCGGTGAGATGCTGGCCGCAGGGGGTTGAGGCATCCGTCTTAAACCTTTTGTTTGCCGAGAAGACAGAAGGGAACTATTAAGCAAGACAATAGGATGAACTGACTTACAAAGCCAAGATTTAGCAGCAGGAGAAGCCAAACCAAGCCGCACCTGCTGCGAAACGCATCATTTTGACTCCAGTTGCGCAGGGAGCAAAGCCAAGAAACCACCCTGTTGATTTTCATTGTCCCTAAACCACGAGAAGAAAATACCAACATAAAACTAATCAAAATGACCCCACAAGCCCTTTGAATAGAGTTCACCCGGGATCCTCTCTAAAACTCAAAAGTACATTACTAAAAATCCAGTCAGATTAATCACCCGTGTCGCTTTTTATATGGAGAAACATCAATACTTCACAGTAGACTGTTGAATGATATCGAGCAGCTGGTTGTTAACTGGTCTCCATCTTTTAGAAATGGACAGGGTTTGGACAGATAAACTGCACCGGCGGGCGTGTATTTTGTTAGGTTGGGTCGTTTAAGTAATTCCTGCGGTATCATTATGAGGTCTGATACACCGGCACCTCGGCATTAGCCTTAATAACACTTAAAATGCGGTAGCGAGTCTTTTTAAAATATATACTTGAGTAGGGGACTCATTTTTTTAGATTTGATGTTTGGCCACCAGTTTAATAGTCTACATATACCGGCAAATTCAGTCACTGTAATACATGGTATTAGAACCGTGGAGGGTTTTATATAGACCGAACAATAGACCTGGTCAATATTGTATGGAGCGAAAGGGTGAATATATTATACGAACCAGACATATTGAATGTGGAGCGCGCGGGTGGAGGAGGCGCAGAACAAAAGACTCGAGCGTACAGACGAGCGGAAAGTTCACAAAACACACCACATGTAGAAAAACGGCATTATAATTTCTTCTCCTTCATCTGTCAGCGCAATATGTGTTTTCTGAACGACTGTCCGTGATTAAATATCGCTCACAGTTACGAGAGGGTTTGCCGTCACCGCCCAGACATCCACCATTGAAACGGACTCAAAGGATGAACAAGGCAACACGGAATAAAAGGAGACAATGCCGGTTAACAAGCAGTAAAAACGCAAAAATAACTAAACCGGTGTGGTAGATTAAAGCCTATGAATCAAACCGGTGTGAAACCTGATCGCTTTCAGGGGCATTTTCATCTGAAGATCTCATTAATTCCGCCGGTAGCCTACTATTATAATGACCGATGTGAACAAGAACTCATTAATATTCATTTACATATCAATACATGCAGTCGTAAATCATGCTGTTGAATGAAAAGCATTTCTTAAACTGATAGATTAAAGCCTATGAATCAAACCGGTGTGAAACCTGATCGCTTTCAGGGGCATTTTCATCTGAAGATCTCATTAATTCCGCCGGTAGCCTACTTCTATTATAATGACCGATGTGAACAAGAACTCATTAATATTCATTTACATATCAATACATGCAGTCGTAAATCATGCTGTTGAATGAAAAGCATTTCTTAAACTGACGCTGACATTAATTCTTTAGTTCAATTAATTGTGACACAGTGAAAAACGCTTTTAATGAATCGCCGGTTCTCTCTAGGATCGGCACATAGCGAATCTTACCGAGTCTAGCGCTTTTCCTCCAGCAACGCCCAGTCGGTACTCGCGTCTCCTCCCGTTTTTTCCCCAAGCGGAACCCGGCGGGCAGCACTGCGAGTCGAGAAAACCCGGCAACAAATGTTGAGCTAAAACCCAGTAGATGGAGGCAGTTTGGAGCTGACTGACTGTTTGCCGGCGATAAAAGAGATGCGCGTCTCCTGGCAGCAGAGAATGAAACGGGGCTCGGCGATCCGCGCACGCACGCACGCGCACACACTATGCGGTCGCGAAAGGGAGAATAGAAAAGGATGAAAAGCGCGAGCGGCTTCGGTCTCTCCCGCCTGTGACCAATGAGCTTTCAGACTGAGGTTTATGCAAATGAGGGATGATGTCATCGCACAGGCCACCCCGCGTCCTTTCTTTACGCGCCATCCCTCTTCTTTTCTGTCGCCTCGGACCCCGGTGCAGCCCCTGCCCCCATGAGCCCACCCCCGACGCCCGCGTTCCCGCCGTTTCTTTTCACTTTCACTAATGCACACAAGAGAGGAAGAGAAACAGGGGCAGGCCTAACTAAAACTCTAACATTTATCATGTTTATTACAACATTTTAAATTTTCTTTTAGTTTAAGTATGAAAATAATAACAATTAAAAATAAAAATCAGTAAAACCTATCGTTACATATTTAAAAAATACAAATGACAAACACACCAAATGTACTAAAACTTTGTAAAAATTAAAATGAAAACAAATACATATTAAAATATTACTACAAATATACCAATTATAAAAACTATAATAGTATACGAAACTAAAATAGCAGACAAGTTAGGTTTTACTGCAGGACATGGATTACACCTTGACCAATGCAAAATTTGGCCTAACTATATTCAAAATTATTTAAAAGACATAAGCTGAATAGAAAAAAAACTGACAACTGGTGGATTTTGGCAGCATTTTCTCCTCTTTAAAGGTTGACACACCTATTTACTTTGCTTTCATGACTATATGCATGATAATATCGTTTCATTATTTACACTTAAGATGATTTTTTTCTACTCTTTGTGAACCACATTTTCGATTTGCAGCTCACCAGTTGAGAACCACATGCCTATACATATCAAATGTGAAACCTCAGTGGGATTGGGGGTAAACTAGTAAATCTAATATGTTCTGGTGTAGCATTTAGAGGTGTATTTAAACAAGAGGGACATTTCAGATCAGATTTCAGACAGATTTATTTGGCCTACTGCTTAAAGACACCTGTGTGAGCACATTAAAATCTGCTCCTCTATAGTGGACGGTTTGAATGCATGCTCATATTTGCAAAATACATATTTGTCCTATTATCTGAATGCGGTTTGGTAACGTTTGCTTGTAAGCCTGTTTTCCCAGACACTCTGGAGAAGCCTCTAGACTGCTCCTGCTCTCATACAAGTCTTTGTCTTCCTTTCTCTCTGGCGCTGTTGAGACAGTGAGACACAGGGTGGGCTTTCGGCATGTCTGTCTGCCTCTCTGTCTCGTGAGCGCTCTCCTTTTCTGACAAACAAAGCTGCATGTAAATGTTCTTCTAGCAGAAGCCGATGCATTTCTGATAGGCAAAGCACACACAAAAAAAACTCCTGTTGTGTTTATTCTCTGCAGTTTTTACCGGGTCCTGTGAGCACAGTCTTACAGACCTGTCAGTATGAATTGCATCGGGAACAATATCATTGCAAAATTTAATAGAGATGTCAATGGCAATTCTCACCTCTGGTACTGTATTAGTTCATGTTTTCCTACTTTTGTTTAATTTCCAACCTCATCATTTGAATACAGTCACATGCCAATCTCAACAGGCTTCCTGTACACACCCACATAGAAATATTACACAATATTAATTGCGCAAACAGGTGCCAAAAACCAGGCTGGATTTATTGCATGTTGATAGAGCCTTTGCCTTGACTCAACTATGAGCTTTTGGAGTGGCGCGATGACCTCAAGCTTAGCAACAGCAGAGTATCCAGGCAAAATAAAGGGTGACATTTTAGAGAGTCCGAGCACTCAAACGCAAGCGTGTTGGCTGACGGACATTTTGGCCCACTTCAGGAGCGGACACAAAGGGAGGAAATATCCTGAACCTTGCGGTAAAGGACGGTGCCGAACCGGCAGGAAGGGGCGAGGCATTTGAGCCGCCACTCACTTCCTATGCTATTTATCTGATTGTTTTTTCCCCAATGCCAGCGATCAGCCCTGCAGCTGGGCAACACTGGCACTCGCACAAAACACAAGCCTGAGCTGGAAACATGACAGGAACAAACACTCCCTAAAACAAAAACAGCCCAATTCAGAAACTTCAGAAGCTAAGAAGTAAAGAAGTAAAATCCTATGTGTTTTCTACGCAGATGACCTAACTTTGGTGTATAGATAGCGTATTGACGTATTACTCTGTTGAAAAAAACAGCATATGCTGGTTAGGTATGTTTTGACGCTGGGATGCTGGTTTAAGCTGGTCCTTTGCTCGTTTAAACTGGTCCTTTGCTGGTTTAAGCTGATCCTTTGGTGGTCCTTTGCTGGTTTATGCTGTCCTTTTGCTGGTCATGTTCCTTTGCTCGACCAGCAAAAGGACCAGCATAAACCAGCAAAGGACCAGTTTAAACCAGCAAAGGACCAGCATAAACCAGCAAAGGACCAGCTTAAACCAGCGTCAAAACATACCTAACCAGCATATGCTGTTTTTTTCAACAGGGTAGCACGCATATTTCCTTCTGAAGTCTAGTTAGTGTTTATTTGCCAAATCCTCATCAGATTCACAGCAAATTAAAAATGTATTACTTTAACCTTGTGTTGTGTTCAGAACCCTATCACACGTACGATGTTGCAGAGCAAAAAGGGCCCGGCCTCAAAAAATTGCTTATAAATCACTCATTATGCTATACTATCACCAAATATTGGATTCAATCTTTTTGTCAACTTCTTTTCTTTCATTTAGGACTGGTTTTGTATTTATATTTGCTTCTGATTAATCGTAGGCCTCATTTATCTGAGAGTAGGCACCTAATTTTTTGAGTGAAAAAAGCATTATTTATGAATAATTTTCACAATATTAAATAAAAACTGAAGAAAATTTGCACCGTTTATCACAATAGTGTGCTTTAATGCTTAATCAGGGAGCAAATATAAATACAAAACCAGTCCTAAATGAAAGATAAGAAGTTGACAAAAAGATTGAATCCAATATTTGTTGATAATATTGCATAATGAGTGATTTATAAACTTTTTTTTTTAGGCCGGGTCATTTTTGCCCTGGAACATCACAAGTGTAACAAGGTGAAAAATCTCCCCCAGAAAAGCATGAAAATGATCAAAATTTTTTTTAGAAGTAGTTATACCGATAACATTAACTAGTATTTTCGGGAAAAATAAAAAAAAATTCAGAGCAAAAAGGACCCGAACACCACATGAAGGTTAAATCAATGTCTAAATGCCTGTTCACACCAAGAATGACAACTATAACGATAACTACAACTGTAAAATTTGATTAGCCTAATCGTTCTAATTCTAAAGCAGCCTTTGACCATGAGGTGAGAATTACCAGTATTTCTCCACTTTAATGTTATTCTGTAAACGTTAATTATTAATAATAATTGACAGAAACAATTATGTATGTTGATTAGCCCAATGAGAAAGTTCTGTGCAACTACCACTAGGAGGCGAAATGCAACAATCGTAAGCAAATGTCGAAAATATTGTCCACTATCTTCAGAGAATATCTATCTTTGACTATCAACAGACACCAGACGTTATTCATTTTCACTGTAGAGTATTACCAGAGCAGTGTGGAGTTACGACCATATGTGCATGTGGACATTTCGGATCTGATTTGAGATTCGAATGCAATTAAATTGTTGACCTCCTGCTGCTAGATGATATGTGATCTATCTATCTATATCTATATGTGACCAAATGTGATGTTTTCTAATCAAAACTATGAGCGTGAGTTAAGTACCAGCATTTTTTCACTTAAACATTATTATTGTAAAATTGTGGTTGCAAATAATTCAGGCAGAAATAAATATTGTATAATTATTTAGCCATTTACTGGCCTCAAGCCATCCTAGGTGTAGTTATATTAAAAAAAATCTCTAGCATCTGCTAACTGGCGTACTCGCGTTCATAAGAGAGTGGCGTTCCAGCGGATGACGTAGGCATAGCGTAAGCTCTGGTGAGAAGTGATTAAATGTCGATATAAGCCAAGAGGAGACTGGTTTTCCTTTGCTGTAAACAAAACTTGGTTCTCGCGAGACTAGCATATTCTCGCCAGAGCTTACAGTACACCTACATCCTACGTCATCTGCAGAAACGCCACTCTCTCATGAAAGCGTGTAGGACAGTAAGTGAAAGCTAGGGATTACGGTTTATAAAGTTTCAAATATGGATATTTTTCTTACACAAATGCATTGATTCGCTTTAGAAGGCCTTTATTAACCCCCTGGAGCCATTTGGAGCACTTTTTATGATGGACAGACGCACTTTATTGGACTTCAAAATCTCAACAGCCATTCACTGCCATCATAAAGCTTGAAAGTGCCATATTTTTGTAATATAACTCCGATTGTATTTGTCTGAAAAACAGAAAGTCATGTACACGTAGGATGGCTTGAGGGTGAGTAAATAATGAGGTAACTTTAATTTTTGAGTGAACTATCCCTTTATTTTAAAAGTTTTGTATTGTACCATATTTCAGTTACGCCATGAGCAATGTTCATAAATAATTTAAATACACACATTGTCTTTTTGTCTGATTTTTCAAATACCTTTTTGCACAATGATTCATAAGCTGGTTGGTTTGGCTCATGACTCAGAACTTTTCATTGATTTTATTTTTAAGTGAAAAAGACTAGAAGATAGCCTACTTCTTGAACCAAGGAAAAGTGTCTGGTTACTGTATAATCACTTCATATGATAATATGAGAATATCAGGCAAGTCAATGTATAACACAGGCAAGAGTCCTAACATTGTATAGCCTACCACCGTACAAAGAAGAGCGTCTCTGAAAGAAAAAGAAAATTGCAATGCACTCTGAAAAACACCAGAAACACGCTCAAAGCAAACACGCAGATGGACTGGGAGTGTGTCGAACACACACACACACACACACACTCACACACACACACACACACACAGGCTTGTTTTTGTGAAAAGTGGGGACATCCCATAGGCCTAATGGTTTTTATACTGTACAGACCGTATATTCTATTGCCCTACACCAACCCTACCCCTTACAGGAGACTTTGTGCTATTTCAGATTTTCAATACACTCCATTCTGTGTGATTTATAAGCGT